AACACAAGAATTTAACATTTGAATACCGTTAGGAATCACAGGTTGTGTTAAATTGACATATTTGATATTTCAGACATAGATTGTCAATTTAACATTTTCATTTCATAAAAACACAGATTAATACTTCTCTTAAATGTTAAAGTAACGTTATATTTCAGTTAATTTAACATTATACATATATCAGTTTAACACAAACTGTGATTCCTGACGGTATTCAAGTGTTAAATTCTTGTGTTAATTTCTTATATATTATTTCTTATATGTCACATTTTATGTTAAATTTACACATACATGAAAGTAGATGATTTGGGACACATGAAATGTTAAATTTAACACATCAGTTTTTACAGTGTAGATACTTTCTCACAGAGAAATTCCTTTCAACTTTACTATATTTCTACTACTGCGACAATAGACTGTCGGTACTCTCTAACTTAGTTGGAGTGAAATTTCATTAGAGAAATAGAGTGATTATATTAGTTTACAATATTCTGCAACTTTCCAAATTTCCCCAAATTTTTACTCCTGTCGGAGTCCTGGTAATCCCATAAATTCCCCATCCAAAGCTTACTTAGCGTTATTGGAAAAACGCCGGCATTTCGAATCCACAACTCTCGACATTAACGACGTCGTTTCGACGAATCATTTCTGGGGACGACGACAACGACGAGGACGATGAAGGCGATAGTGAACAGCGAGAGCGAGCCGATAAATGACTCGATAAACGAGAACTAGAGGGATTCGCCGTAACCGTTGTTTATTTATCGCGGCCGATCAGGATCGCGGTCGTGCCGCCGGCTCTTACACGGCCGCGCGTAAATGGCCGCGGGCCTTTATTTAATAAGTTGTTATAAATTAGAGGGCTACCGCATATTAAACCACCCTCGGCATATTTATAGTGATTCTTAAGAGTGTATATACATACATGTATATACATATATATATATATATATAATATATATATTTATACACATACTCGGGCACAGCAGTACAGTTGTGTAAATCATTCGCCGCTGCTTCACACGCACACCGCTCGCGCACTCCTTATGAATTTATCTTCGGCGATGAAACGACAAACGGTTTTAATTGCCGCTCCGGGCGTCGCGTCGCGTCGATGATCGGGGAAGGGGGAAATCTCCTCGGCTTGTAGGACCCTCCGGCCCCTCGTTATCTGCGCCCTTCGCTTTCGGCCCGACGATAAGCGCCGCTCGTTTTCCGCGATTATCGGGGGAGGTTCGCGGGCTTTTTGCCATTTCGGACTTGTCGGACAAGCAGTCGTCGTGATGCTGCACAAAAATGAGAGGAACTGTCCCTCTTATTGCTTTATAACTGAAATGATCGTATAAAACGTATTTGCCTTGGTGCAGAGGAGGCAGTTTTGCACGCAATCCAGGTTCCTCGGGGTCCTTTTGGAGGACGTTTTGTGGACGAAAATTATTTTGTAACAGGAGAGACTCGATTAAATTGGCTCAGGATTTATGTTAGCCGTGCATTTCGTATATGTGTTTGTTATGAGAGAGATAATAGAGAAAAAATTGCATAATATTCTTTTCGGGAGACAAGCACTTTTCATAAGTTCCAAAAGGATTATTTTCCTTTTCCATTGCCTCTCACAATAATATAAAAGGAATAGAAAATTATAATGGAAAAGAAATCGCAAAATTGTTTTTAAACTATTACTTAAGGGGATGCTGGAGTCGATGACGAACAACGTTGATAATGCAGAGACAATCGTCACTAACATAATTACACTATCCTTTTCGTATTTCTTGTATATACAGAATTTACATGAATGTATGTTGCTTTGTTTTGTCATATTCAACGGAAAACCTAACTATATATGTATAGAAATCTTTCTGCAAACTTTTCCGACATTCTTAAGTTTCCAAGTGCAGATGCGAAGGTAGAGCAATGTTCTTCAAAATTGTTCTGTTTGAAGCATCCACACTTTCGATATGTACAAGTTACGGAACTCTTGGATTAGCAAATATTACGCTGACAGTTTGAGATTTTACATTAAAAATTTTTTGTTCGTTTTCGTCACATATTGAGCAATGCTCCTATTTATTTTTGCACATATGTCCATTGCATAAAAGCATTTGTAATTCTGTATAACTAATATGATGTAAACTTTGCAAAAAAATCTCAGTGTTCTGTCGGTAAAGTTTTCAGTTTCAGCGTCCCTTTAAGAGGAAGAAAGTAAACTGAGTAATCGCTCTTCTTAACAATGGAATATTTTTCTGTGTATGCAATCTGCATGGAGAAAATATTGTATAGTAAAAATTACAGTAAAATTTTTGTAACCTTGGAATTATGATCAAATTTGTTATATAAGGTGTTTGCAAAATACTTGGATTATACTTAGTATTCCTCTCGTCAAGATAAAAGGAAAAGTTCATATAAACTCATAATAAAATACGTGGTTGCGAAGTTATAGTAAAACAAGGTTTATGTTAATATTACTATTAAATAATCATAAGTAAACATTCAAATTATAATAGTTGAGGAGGGCGGTATATTCAGAATATGTATGATAGTTTTGACTATTTAATAGTAACGTTAATGTAAACTTTGTTTTACTATAATTTCACAATCATTCATACTTTATTATAAGTTCATCTAAACCTGATATAATCTTTTTTTTTATTTTAACAAGAGGAGTACGCCTCAGAAGTTTAACCAAGTATTTTGTAAACATTCTGTATATTTGTTTTGTAAACATTCTGTATATTTGTTTAAAAATTTTATGCACGTTTGACATTTACTACAAAATTTTTATAATTGGATGTTTTTTTATAATGTATATTAGGTTAATCGTGAAATTTATTATTTTTGTAGTAATTTATACTGCAACTTCAACATAATCCAGCTTTGCGAATATTATAAGAAGAAATGTAATTTCAACTTTTTACTACAATATCTTTTCCGTGTAGCGTGGAACCCGGGAGACCATGAAAAATGTTTTATTTTACAACGCAAATGAAATTTACTGTTGCTATTGTAACATCTAGCTGCCCAGATCTGCCCTGATTTCCCACACTGAGAGAAGAATTTAGTAAATATTATCAAAATTTGGTTACTATTACTAAATGGTAGACGTAAATATAGCGGGCCAAAGCTATGGCAATACTTATTAATTAATTTAGTTCTGTAAAATAAATTATTTATTTGACAGAAGTAAAATTTATTTGCTTCCAGAATATATTTGATAAATAAAACTTGTTGAATAATTGAGCAAAATAAGCGATTTTGTAGTAGTTACAAAATTTTTGGTAGGTTCAACCAACCATCTGTAATAATAGATATTGAAACGATAATAGCTGCAAATGAATGAATTTTTCGTTGTGTTGCAACAAAACATATTTATACTGGTAACAAAATAGAACTCGTACCTACTGAATTTTTTATTATATGGGATATAACAATTTCATAACAATTATCAAATATCTGCTCATAACTGTAATATATTTCATATTAAATATTTAACATTAAGTAATTATTACTAAATTATTTAATTGATGTTACTGTGAATGCAATTACGTCATACTTCCGATCTATTAAATATTTGGTAATTATTATCATATTTAGTATTAGTTACTAAGGATTCAATGAATTTCTGTAACTAAATGCAGTTTGTTATAGTTACCAGTCTTTTCTCTCAGTGCATGCTTTTGAGGAACTATCCGTCTTTGCTCGCAAATATTATAGTGTACATGGAGAATAATAATTTACTGGCTCGGCAAATTTTTTGCTAGTCTAGCATAATCTTTTCGTTATTATATGAACAACAAAAAGATTTGCTAAGAGTACTAATCACTATTTGCTGGATGTAATTTGCTGAATGTACAAATTATTTTGCTATAAGAATCATGATGGATTTATATAAACAGTTGCAGTTTTGCTCCGATAGCAAATAAATTTGCCAAGGATATATTATTTTGCATCAGTAGCAAATTAACGTGATTCTTAAGACAAATACACTCACCAAATTTTTTCTATCCTGGCAACGAAACTACTTTTGCTCTGATAACGAATAATTTGTAAAATTAGTTACGTCAATTAAATTTTGTTGATGTCACTACGAATATGCAGTAGCGACGACGATTCTGCTAAAAGAGCAAAATTATTTTTCTCTGTGCAAGCTTTCACGCAGATTCGGCTGACTCGATTCGATGTCACTCTAAATCTGATCACAGATGCGCCATGAGTTTGCCACGGAGAGCCTTTAGAACCGTGTTACCAGCAAATAACGAATCCAAAAGAATTGCTTCGCGAAGTCGATCTATCTAGCCCTCTCCTCCCCCTTGGAATCGACCGCACCGCGTTACTCCTCATGCGATAATGATCGCTCCGAATCCAAATAGGGTATGGTAACGCGCTTAACGCAGGGAAGACGACGATGTATCGAGGTAGTTCGATGGTTCACGTTAACAGCATTTGACCCCGGCTTGCTCCCAGTTTGCCGGAGACGCTAACAATGCCTTATGTCGGCGTTTCGCTACTCGCGTCACGCGCGTACGCGAGTTCCTGGCGTCGGAACGTTGTGCGTTCCCTCCGTTCCTGGGGAGTTTCCGCTATAATCCGATCATCTCGGGAGACCTTCTCCCGCCTCCCCCCTCTCTCTCTCTCTCTCTCTCTCGTACATAGAAGATTCATCGAGCCTCATTGTCGTCCTTAGAATGGCACGTGGCAGGATTTGGCCGCGTTACCATTGCAAACGATACAAACGATCTAATTTCGCTGGCGTAATGACGGGCGCGGGGGAAACGACGAGAGAGAGAGAGAGAGAGAGAGAGAGAGAAAGAGAGGGGGGGCGGATAGAGAGAACGAAGAAGAAAGAACCTCGTCTTTCGAACTCAATTAAAGGTGTTTCCCGGCTTGCGTCTTCAAACAACATTCTTCACACAAAATTTTTCTTCACACTGCCTTCGACGCGTAATTCTCTCTGCCTCTCTCTTTCTCTCCCTTCTACACCTTTTCCTTCGGTCGTATTATTATAGTTCCGCGGTTACTATAATCCCGCGCGACACACGCGAGTGGAAGGCGAGGATGGAAGAGCTTAAAGCACGCCGCTCGCCGTAAGTCATCCCGGGCGATGGGCGAGCGAGCGAGAGAGCGAAGTGTCCCCGAAAATCGTGAAACCCACGCGACAGAGCGCGCATCACAGTCGAGAAAGAGGAAGAGAGAGAGAAAGAGGTGGGTTAATATATTTTATCTACTGTAGCCGGGGCCACGTCGCGCGCGCGGGGGATATATCCCGCCGAGGTGCGGGCTTTTATATACCGCGTACCGGTATTTATGTGTCGCCGCCTTGCCTAAGCGTTTGATATATGAACTATGAAGGGGGTGACGGTGGGGGCGAGGAAGGGGCAGGAGGAGAGCAGAGAATGATATAGGAGAGAAGAGGGACGAAGACACGGAGGACCTCTCTCGAGAAGAGCCTCCTCCCTACGCTTGCTCGTCCGCGATATATGTTCTTTTGACAATAAGAGAAGGAAGCTCGGGTTGGAGATGGAGAGAGGCAGAGAGAAAGAAAGGGGGAGAGAGAGAAAGAGAAATGGAGAGAGAAGAGAGAAAGAGAGGAATATATTTATCTAATATTCGCGTATGCACAAAGTCGGGAGAAAGTCGTGTTATTGAGCTCTTGAAAATTCCTCGGTTATTTTCCCTCGAGTTCGACTCACCCTCTTCAATTCTCTCTCTCTCTCTCTCTCTCTCTCTCTCTCTCTTTCTTTCTCTCTCTGTTCTTATTCACCCACCGTTATCTATGAATATTTCGTGAGGAGGTACTCCGACGAGAAGTCGCCATTACTCTCGGCGATCAGCCTTGAGACGCGGAAACGAAAGACATAATTTAAGGCACGAAGGATAGGGCTCCTCTCCGAGTAAGCATCGCGGAAATCGAGGAGGAGCAGACACAGGGAGCCGGGACAGGGAGCGCGTGAGGGAGAGTGAGAAAGAGCGAGAGATAGAGGAGCGGCGGAAAGGATGGGGGGTTAGAGGGGAGAGGAGCTTACTTGATTGGGTTAGCACTTAGCGCTGTGATTGCCGTTTGTGACTCCTTTGCCATTTCGTTTCCAAGTGCCCTCCCCGTCGCGGAGGGGGTTGCGAATCAGAGGCACCTCGATTATATTCCCGCGTCCTCTCCTTCTTTTTTTCTCCCCCGCGCGAACTTCTACCGTGCAGAACTTTCCATCGCGGTGGCGCGAGAGAAGCGAGATTTTCGCGGATCTCCTGTGGAAATCTCGTTCCTCGCGCCTCTCTCTTTCTCTCTCTTTCCCCCCCCCCCCCC